CACTAGACCTGCCTTAAAAGAAATGCTAAAGGGAATTCTTTGAGTGGAAGTAAAAGAATGCTAATTAACATCATAAAAGCATAAGAAGGTAGTGTAAAACTCACTGGGAATGGTAAATACATAGTCAAAGTTAGATTCCATAATATGATAATGGTGGTGTGTAATTCACTTACAACTCTAGTTCAAAAGTTAAAAAAAGTAGTAAAAATAACCATAATTACAATAATCTGTTATTAGTTACACAATATAAAAAATAAGTAAACAGTAACATCAGTAACCTAAAATATGAGGAGGAGACATAAGTGTAAAATTTAAGAATTCTATTGAAGCTGTTATCAGTTTAAAATAGGTTATTATAATTTTAAGATATTTTATGTAAGCCTCGTGGTAACCACAAGGGAAAAACCTGTAGTAATAACACAAAAGAACATGATAAAGATGTCAAAGCATACTGATAACAAAAGACATCAAAACACACAAAAAAAAAGAAGGATAAGAAACAAGGAACAATGGATTTAAAAAACAGCCAGAAAACAATTAACCCAAAATGGCAATAGTAAGTCCTTACCTATTAATAATTACTTTAAACATAAATGGATTAAATTCTCCAAGCAAAACACATAGAATGGCTGAACGGATTTTTAAAAAGCAAGTTCCAACCATATACTGCCTACAAGAATTCACTTTAGCCTTAAAGCCACACATAGACTGAGAGTGAAGGGATGGAAAAAGATATATCAAGCAAATGGCAACCAAAAAAAAAAAAAAAAAAAAGCAGGGGTAGATATACTGATATCAGACAAAATGGACTTTAAAGTAAAAATGGTAAAAAGAGACAAGGAATGTCATTATATGATGATAAAGAGGTGAATCCATCAAGAAGATATAACAATTGTAAATATGTATGCACCCAACATTGGAGCACCTATGTCTATAAAGCAAAAACTAACAGAGCACAAAGGAGAAATAGACAGCATTACAATAATGGTTGGTGATTTTTAATATCCTACTCTCAACAATGGATAGATCATCCAGAGAATCAATACAGGCAGCAGATTTAATCAACACTATAGACCAAATGGACCTTACAGAGATATACAGAACATTCTATCTGACAACAGCAGAATACACATTCTTCTCAAGTGCACATGGAACATTTTCTAGAACAGACCATATGTTAGGCCACAAAACAAGTTTTAGCAATTTTAAGACGATTGAAATCAGACCAAGTATCTTCTCTGACCAGAAAGGTATGAAACTAGAAATCAATAACAGGAGGAAAACTGGAAAATTCATGAATGCATAGAAATTAAACAACACTCTCTGAGCAACCAATGGATCAAAGGAGAAATTAAAGGGGAAATAAAAAAGTATTTCGAGATAAACAAAAATGGAAACACAACATTCCAAAATGTATGGGATGCATCAAAAGCAGTTCTAAGAGGGACTTCAAAGCAATAAACACCTACATTAAGGAACAAGAAAGATCTCAAACAACCTAACTCTATGCCTTAAAGAACTAGAAAAAGAAGAACAAGCTGAACCCAAAATTAGCAGAAGGAAAGAAATAACAAAGATTAGAACAGAAACAGAGAACAGGAAAACAATAAAAAAGATTAACAAAACAAAGAGTTGATTCTTTGAGAAGATAAACAAAATTAACAAATCTTTAGCTAGACTAACCAAGGAAAAAAGAGAGAGGACCCAAATCAACAAAATTATAAATGAAAACTGAGACCCTACAACTAATACCATACAAATACAAAGGGTCATAAGAGGCTGCTATGAACTATATACCCCAAAACTGGACAACCTAGAAGAAACAGAAAAATTCTTAGAAGCATACAACCTACCCAGACTGAATCAGGAAGAAATGGAAAATCTGAACAGACCAATTACCAGTAAGGAGATTGAATCAATAATCAAAAATCTCCCAACAAAAAAAAAAGCCCAGGATTAGAGGGTTTCACTGGGAAATTTACCAAACATTTAAAGAAGAATTAATACCAATCCTTCTCAAACTCTTTCAAAAAATCGAAGAGGAGGGAACACTCCCAAACTCATTGTATAAGGTTAGCATTACCCTGATACCTAAACCATAAAAGGACACTACCAGAAAAGAAAACTATAGGCCAATATCCTTGATGAATATAGATGAAAAAATTCTCAATAAAATACTAGCAAGCCAAATTCAGCAGCACATTAAAAGGATCATTCACCATGATGAAGTGGGATTTATCCCTAGGATGCAAGGATGGTTCAACATATGCAAATCAATCAGTGTGATACATCATAATGATAGAATGAAAGAAAAAAATCATATGATTATCTCAATAGATGCAGAAAAAGCATTTGACAAAATTAAACATCCCTTCATGATAAAAACTCCTTAACAAAGTAAGTATAGAGGGAACATACTTCAACATAATAAAGGCCATATATGACAAGCACACAGCTACCATCATAGTCAATGGTGAAAGGTTGAAAGCTCTTCCTCTAAGATCAGGAACAAGACAAGGGTGCCCACTCTCACCAGCCCTATTCGACATAGTACTGGAAGTCCTAGCCAGAGCAATCAGGCAAGAAAAAGAAATAAAAGTCATCAGAATTGGAAAGGAAGAAGTAAAATTTCCTCTATTTTCATGTCATCACATGATTTTATATGTAGAAAATCTTAAAGACTCCACCAAAATTGTTAGATCTAATTGTTAGATTGTTAGATCTAATAAACAAATTCAGTAAAGTTGCAGGATACAAAATTAACATACAAAAATCAGTGTGTTTCTACACACTAACCATGAATTATCTGAAAAAGAAATAAAGAAAACCATCCCATTTACAATACCCTCAAAAAGAATAAAATATTTAGGAATAAATTTAACCAAGGAAGTGAAAGATCTCTACTCAATACTACAAGGAAATTGAAGAAGACACAAATAAATGGAAAGGTATCCCATGTTCATGGATTAGAAGATTTAACATTGTTAAAACATCAATACTACCAAACCCATCCATAGATTCAATGTAATCTCTATCAAGATTCCAATGGCATTTTTTTTTTACAAAAGCAGAAAAATTCTAAAATTTATTTGGAGCCACAAAAGACTTCGAATAGCCAAAGCAATCCTGAGAAAGAAGAACAAAATGGGAAGCATCACACTTCCTGATTTCAAGCTATATTAGAAAGCTATAGTAACCCAAACAGTAACCCAAACAGTACTGGCATAAAAACAGACACATAGGCCAATGGAACAGAATTAAGGGCCCAGAAATAAACCCACGCATATACAGTCAACTAATATTTGACAAGGGAGCCAAGAATATTCAATGGAGAAAACACAGTCTCTTCAATAAATAGTGTTGGGAAAACTGGATATTCACATGTGAAAGAATGAAACTCAACCCTATCTTACATCATTCACAAAAATTATCTTGAAATGGTTTAAAGATTTAAATATAAGACCAGAAACCATAAAACTCCTAGAAGAAAACATAGGAAAAAAGCATCTTGACACGGGCCTGGGCAAGGATTTTTTGGATATGACACCTAAAGCACAAGCAACAAAATCAAAAACAAACAAGTGGGACTACATCAAACTAAAAAGCTTCTGCACAGCAAAAGAAACCACCAACAAAATGTAAAGACAACCTACAGAATGGGAAAAAATAAATATCTGCAAACCATATATCTGATAAGAGTTTAATATTCAAAATATATAAAGAACTCATACAACTCAATAGAAAAAAAAATTGCCAATTAAAAAATGGGCAAAGGACCTGAATAGACATTTTTACAAAGAAGATACACAAATGGCTAACAGGTACATGAGAAAATGCTCAACATCACTAATCACAGGGAAATGCAAATCAAAACCACAGTGAGGTATCACCTCTGGTCTGTTAGAATCACTATTATCAAAAAGACAAGAGATAACAAGTTTCTGTAAGGATGCAGAGAAAAGGGAACCCTTGTGCACTGTTGGTGGGAATGTAAATTGGTACAGCCACTATGGAAAACAGTATGGAGATTTCCCAAAAAATTAAAAATAAAACCACCATATGATCCAGCAATTCCACTTCTGGGAATATACCCAAAGGAAATGAAAACACTGTATCAAAGAGATATCTGCACCCCTATGTTCATAGCAGCATTATTTACAATAGCCAAGACATACATGGAAACAACCTAAGTGTCTGTCGATGGATGAATGGATAAATAAGTTGTGGTACACACACACACACACACACACACACACACACACACAATGGAATACTACTCAGCCATAAAAAAGGAGGAAATCCTGCCATTTGTGACAACACGGATGGGCCTTGAGGGCACAGTACTAAGTGAAATAAGTCAGAAAGAGAAAGACACATACTGTATGATCTCACTTATTTGTGGGCTCTTAAAAAAAAAAAACTCATAGAAAAGAGATCAGATTTGCAGTTACCAGAGGCAGGCAGTGGAGGAGGGGAAACCGTAGGAATGTAGTCAGAAGGCATAAACTTCCAGTTCTCATATAAGTAAGTACTAGGGATGTAATATACAAGATAATGTCTATAGCTAACACTGCTGTATGATATATATGAAAGTTGTTAAGAGAGTAAATCCTAAGAGGTCTCATTACAAAGAAAAATTTATTTTCTTTCTCTTTTTTTTATCTATGTGAGATGATGGATGTTAACCAAATGTATTGTGGTAAACATTTCACACTATATGTAAGTCAAATCATTATGCTGTACACCTTAAACTTATACAGCACTGTATGTCAATTATATCGCAATAAAACTGGGAAAAAATTACAAAAAGAAAATTGGTAAGATCACGCCTTGAAAGTGAACTCCGTCAAGCCAAGTTGGGGAGAATTGGAAGCAGAACTGGAAGCAGCAGCACCAGCCTAATTTTACTTAAAAGAAGGCTGCTGTACATTTTTATAAACTTTATATCATTTATAAGCAACAGTTTGTAAATATTAAAGTTCTATAATTAAAATACTCACCATTTTGAGATAAGAAAAAGGTTAGCCCTCTTCCTGCAGATTTAAAATTCATTTTTGAAATTCTTTCATCACTTAGAGACTTCTTGATCTTGGGCTTTTATGTAAAAAAAATCAGAAAGCAAAATATTACTTCTGCACATTATAGACTAAAACAAATTTTCTACATGATAAATAATAAGAAAATTATTAATGAGGCCATTCTCTTTAAGCTATTTTCACTATTTTTAACCTGCATAAAATTTGACTACTTTTAACCTGCATATTTGTACTATAACCTGCAGGTTATTGTATCTACTGAAAGGCTCTCCCCAAGAAGCCAAAGATCTGAAACTCTTCCGTGGGTCTGTTGGGAAAGTGTTTGTTAGACACAAGCAGCTGTGCTCACATGCATGTATTAATGGCTTTGATTACCATCCACACGCTGTTTACTCCCACATTTCAGTCTCACCCCTGAACTCCAGATTTGTGTCTCTGGCCGTGCCACCTGCTGTCACCACCTGGATGTCTAATCAGGCACCTTAAGCCTAACGTGTCCAAAACTAATCCTTTAATTTTGCCCCAAAAACTCATCTCCACCCACCCTCGTCTTCCCCTTCATAGTAAGTGGTGACTCTATTTTTCCAGTTGTTCGGGCCAAATATCTTAAAGTCACCTTTGCCTTCTCTTTCCCTCTCAAACTCCACAGCCTTTAAAATACCTTCAGATAATTCCAACCACTTCCTTCCTGGTTTGTCAACAGCGAAGTCATAGTGGGCTTATTGCTCAGAGGGCCTCCCATCTCATTCAGAACGAAAGCCAGGTCCTCACCACGGCCAGATGCCCCCCTGGTCTGGCTCCCTGCATCACTCAGTTGATCTTCCTGGGCCACTCAGGCGTAGCTACACTTGCTGCTACACTTCTCTTCCAACAACACAAACATGCTCCCACCTCAGGGCCTTTGCACAGGACACTCTCCCTCCTGATAATTAGATGGTTGCTTCCTCACTTCCTCCAGGTGCTCAAGTGTCACTGCACCAGAAGACCTTCCCTTACTACCCACCCTGTCACTCCGTCTCCACCACCTGCCCTGCTTGTCATCATATCGCTTACACTTCGTAAGTGTCAAGAAGTGTAGCAGTGTGGTAATGGGTGCAAGTTCTGGAGTCAAACTGCCCGCAGACAAACCCCCAGCTCCACTTGCTTACTAGCTCTATAACTGTGGGCAAGTTCCTCAGCCCTTCTGTGCTTCAGTTCCCTCCTAGACATAGTGACAGTACTAAAGGTTGTTGGGGACATTCAGTGAGCTAATACCCAGGACGTGGTTGGCACCTGAAAAACACCGTGAGTGTAGCTGTTACTGTCGTTCACTTGTTACCATCTCCCTCTCCTCACGAGAAGGTCAAGGCCAGGAGGGGACCGGCTTCTCCTCCCCTGTGACATCCCTAGACACTGCAGAGTGCTCACCACACAGACGGTGCACAATGGTGCTGATACCACAGCCGCGTCACTTTTCACGGGGTGAGTTGTAAATACAGACCTCTGATTTCCTTATTTTGCTCATATCAAGCGAGAGTCCCAACTTGCTTGAAGATGACTTGGTGCTACCGCACTGCATGTCAGATTCCTGGCTTGTTGCCACACTTGGACTCCTGTTCTGGATGTTCTAAGCAAAGACAAACACATAAGAGGATTTCTGGTTTCCATGGAGATACACACACACACACACACACACACACACACACACGATTTTAATGAAGTATAACTGACTTACAATAAACTACACATAAAGTACACCATTTGCTGAGTTTGGACACATCTACACCTGTGAAACCATCACCTCAGTCAAGACAGTGAACACACTCACCACCCCCAAAGTCTCCTGTGCCTCTTGGTGATCCATTCCTCTTCCTCCATCCACAGGCAACCAATGATCTGCTTTCTGTCACTACAGACGACTTTGCACTTTCTAGGATTTTTTCTTTTTCTTTTTCTTTTTTTTTTCTGCTGAGGAAGATTCACCCTGATCTAACATCTGTTGCCAATCTTTCTCTTTTTTTGCTGAGGAAGATTTGCCCTGAGTTAACATCCGTGCCAGTCTTCCTCTATTTTGCATGTGGGTCACTGCCACATGGCCACCAACAAGTGGTGTAGGTCTGTGCCCAGGAACCAAACCTGGGCCGCCAAAGTGGAGTGAGCCAAACTCAACCACTAGGCCATGGGGCCAGCCCCATGCACTTTCCAAGATTCTATATAATTGGAATCACAAAAGTATGGACCCTTTTTCATCTGGCTTCTTTCACCCAGGATAATTATTTTGATTCATCTATGTTGTTGCATGTATCGTGAGCTATTTCATTGCTGAGTCATACTCTATTGCATGGATATAATATGATTTGTTTATGTTGACGGAAATTTGGAATGCCATATTGAAAACTAGAAGTGAACTTGATCACATGGTTTCTGAGGATGTTCCCTAGACCAGAGTGTTCACACTCGCTTACTGGAGTCCAAGGCAACGCCATCCATGAAATCATGGATGAATTTAAAGTGGACATTCATTTCCCTCAGAGCAGAGCCCCAGGCCCAGACTGTGGCCCGTGAGCAGGTTGCCAGATGACCTGGAGAAGCCGTCAGTCATATCCTCAACCTGAAGGAGGCACAGCTGGCTGATGGGGTGGAAAATGAGATGCTGAAGTTGAACGCAAAGCTCTCAGCATATGAGGAGTCCAGGGCACATCCTGGGGATTCACGGTAATAGTCTCTCCTTAGACAACAAATGGGCAGTGAGAAGGCTCCTTGTATGAGCAGCTTGAAAGAGTTTCCCAGCTGTGGGGAAAGACTCTCCCTTGGGGCTCCAAATGAATGACTCCAAAATCAGAAATCCTTCAAGCCCACTAGCCTGAAACCACCCACCCCCAAAATGGGTTTGTCTCAGTTTGACCCAGCAGCTGGATCCTTCAGTAAACTGCCGACACTGCCCCTGGTCCACCTGGGTCTTGCCATGAAGCCTAGCGTCCAGCCCTGTGAGCAGGCCCCATCTTCAGGGACCCATCTAGCATCTCATGCACGCTCAGCAGCTATTCCTTGGCTTCTTGGCTCTGGGACAGGCTTTCCACTCTTGTAAACACTAGATCATATAATGAAACATTTCATAACAAAATATCTCAGATGTTCTAAGCCTCATGGTCCACCCAGCGTATTCGTATACACTCTGACCTTCATTACCATATCTCCATAACTGTGGCTAGGAGTCTACTTCCTGAGTCATGACCAGGAAATATACTTTCACTAACTTACAAATGAAAAAATATGATATAGGGCCGGCCCAGTGGCACAAGCGGTTAAGTGCGTGTGCTCTGCTGCGGTGGCCCGGCGTTCGCCGGTTCAGATCCCGGGCACGCACCGACGCACTGCTTGTCAGGCCATGCTGTGGCGGCGTCCCCTATAACGTGGAGGAAGATGGGCATGGATATTAGCCCAGGGCCAGTCGTCCTCAGCCAAAAAAAAAAAAAGGGGAGGATTGGCAGATGTTAGCTCAGGGCTGATCTTCCTCACACACACACAAAAAAAATACAATATACTCCTTTCAAAACTTGAAAAGAAGTCTTAAATTAGTTAAGTCCTAAATTATTTCCTGAAGGGTTACAAAAGCCCAAGATAGGTTTGATGACGGTTTAACCATTTCAGAATAAAACAATGCTTCGCTCTGTAAAGTCTAAGATACTGTTTCTTACCTGATTTATTATCCCGTAAGTGCTTCCATGTTTGCTTCCAGACAAGTCATCATTTGGAAAATTTGAATAGGATGTAGTCATTTGATCAGTAACAGAGATTAAGGCAAAGCTTAAGAGAGCTTCAAAGAATTCCAGGAAAACCAGCTGAAATATAAGAAAATATAAAGAGTCTTATTCATTCTGACACACCTTGAGGTGGACCAGTGATTCATCCGGGTGTTCGTTTCTATTCTCTAGAGAACATCAACTCATTCAGTGCTGAAGCATCATGGGTGTACACCAGTTTGCAATAAAAACTACAGCATTTAAAAGATCTATTATGATAAGACATTTTTCTATTTTGATAGAAACCTTTTATTTTATATTAGCTAATTGAGGACAGTCATTTTCAAATGTTTTTCCTTTTTTCCTGAACAACTAGAGAAGTGGCACCCGTAAAACCCAGGTGACAAGCATTACCCACTTGCCCGCCACGCCCCTCCCTGCTGTCCGTGTGCCCCAACACACAGGCCTGCCTCTGTTGGGAGCACCTGCCTGTGGGGATGGCTTGCTCGGACTGTGATCACCCACCTGTCATGTCTGTTGGTTCTGAAGCCAGGGCCCTTTGAGTCTGAGCTGGAACAGGCCCACTAATTTGACCCAAGGCTGCAAGCCAGCCTCTGCCTGCTTCCAGGGGTCTGCTCAGCGTCCCCACAGCCCCACTGTCCTCTGGTCTAACAATTTGCTGACCTGCCTGAAGATGGGTCTAGCCAGTAAAATAAGACATTTGCTTTGTACAAGGGCAGGACATTTTTAGCCTCTTGTGCCCCAAATCTGACTCCTCCCATGACCTCACCTAACACCCACTCACCAACCCCCAGGTTCCTCAAAGCCTCCTACCAATACGCCAGCCCCCACTTTGCAAAGGCCTCAAAATCCCTCAGCTCTACAGGGAGAGACCGTGTATCCCAGTGCAAGGAATACAGGTTCCGGAAACACACTGTCCTAAGCTGGAATTCTGGCTCTGCTATTTACCAAGTTGCTGGACCTCCCTGAGCTTGTTTCTTCATCTGTAAAATGGGGTTAGTATTGTGTACTTCGTCATGAGCATCAGATGAGATCCCGGTGTGAAGGGCTTGTCATCCTAAGTGTTTAATCAATAGTAGCTGGGATTTGTTATCTTAAATAAGTGCACACGCCAGTGAGTCCCTGCCCCACCGAGGGACCTGTTGTCACTGGCCTTGAGGTGACACTAAATGTCCGCTTTAGAAGCGTGGCCTACAAAAAGAAGGGTCTTGTTTGTTTTCTTATTGGCAGTTCTGCTCATGCTGTTCCTACGTCTTTCTCTCCCAGCAGAGAGCAAACTGTTTCAAGAGACACCACACCGCCTGACACTGTGATGTTCTGCAAATGTCAGATGAATAACGACTTTGCCTTAGATTTGCAACTCTAGCCTACTCTTCGTGTCCCAGCTTATAATTCTGCCTGCCAGCTTGAGAAAATCAGCCTAAAGCTTTTGTTCAAGATGAAGTTATTCTCACAGTTTGGAATAGCGATCAGAAAGGAACCGCAAATATAAGTGTGGTGAGGTGGGAGCAGGACGAGTGTGTCAGGGAACAGCACAGAGACAGGCGTGACACTGAACCAGAGCTGATGCTGGAATAACTAAGACTTACGGAGACGCAGGATAAGATGAACGCATTTTGTACACAGGAAAGGCATGAATTTTGGGGGGGCCAAGTGGAACACTGTTATGGGTTGAATTGTGTCTCCCAAAAAAAGAGTTGGAGTCCTAACCCTCAGTACCTCAGAATGTGACCTTATTTGGTCATACGGTTTTTACAGATAATCAAGTTAAAATGAGGTCATTAGGGCGGGCCCTAATCAAATATGACTGCTGTCCTTATAAGAAGGGGGAAAGCTGGACACAGAGACAGACCCATGAAGGGAAGACAAATTGAAGAGACATGAGGAGACGATGGCCGTCTACAAGCCAAGGAGAGAGGCCTAGAAGAAATCCTTTCTCACAGCCCTCAGAAGGAACCAACTCTGCTGACACCTTGATTTCAGAACTGTAGGCAATAAGCTTCCATTATTTAAGCAAAAACAGTGGGGGGAAATAGCAAGTACAAATGTTCTGAGGTAGGAGCGTGATGCGTGCATTCAGGGAATGGCACAGAGGCAGGTGTAACTCGGTAGTCAGACATGCACTCGGAGAGGCGGCCATGCTGGCGCCATCAGTGTCTTGAGGGCCTCTACTCTGAGAGAGATGGAAGCCCGCAGGGAGGTTTGAGCAGGGGAATGATATGATCTGGCTGCTGAACTGAGAGCAGCATGTAGGAGAATAAGGGAGATGAGTAAGGAGCCACTGCAGCTTTCCAGGTGACAGTGACTGGTGGCTCTGCCAGGGTGGTAGCAGTGCAGGTGGTGAGGGTGGCTGCATTCTGGATGTATTTTGAAGGAAGCCAACAGGATTTCCTCAAGATCTGAATATGGTGGTATGAGAAACAGGAGTCGAGATGACTCCAAGGATTTGGGCCTAAGCAACTGAACGATGGAGCGCTATCAGCTTTCCACAGATGTGAAGAGTAAGGTGGGCAAGTCAGAACTTCAGTTTGGGGCATGTGACATTTTGAGCGGTTAGAAGTCCAACTGGAGACTTAGAGCAGGCCATTGGGTGTACAAGTCTGGCGTTTGAGAGCATGATTTGGGTTGGAGATATAAATTTTGGGGTTGTCTTCAGAAAGGTGGTATTTAAGATTATGAGACTCGAGGGTGAACGTAGCTGGAGAAGGGGCCCAAAGCCTGACTCCAGGTCACTGGGACATTATGATTCCGGACATTCTTCCTTGGCAGAAGAGGAGGAATCAGCTAAGAAGTCAGGAAAGGAACCAGCAGTGAGGGAAGAGAAACCTGGAGCACAGGGTCAGGGCACTGTGGGAGGAATATGTCTGAGGTGGAAGGGATAAAGTCTTTCAAATGCTCCTGCAAGGCCATGGAAGGGTGGAATGAGAAGGCACCACTGGATGAATCAATGTGGGGGTCACTGGTGGTCTGGACATAGTCTTAGTTGAGTGGTGGATGGGTTGGGGAGCCTGACTGGAGTGGGTTCAAAAAAGAGCAGGAGGCGCATGGCAGCATCATGGCAGAGTGAGTTTTTCCCTTTGTCTCTCCCCTCTAAGTTACAACTAAACAATCATTAACCAACAGAGGATTCCCTACACAGCACACCAGGACATCTGACAGATCCACGCAGCCATACATCTGAAGGTGGGGGGAATAGATCCCCAGGAAGCAGTGGAACTAGGTGAGCGGACTCCTCCCCCACCCCCTCCCCAGTGGCAGCAACCTAGGTCACGGGTTCTCACACAGCAGCCAGCACGACTGTAAGAGGAAGCGGGGGCAGCCCGGCCTGCGCAAATGCTTTCAGAGTGGTAGCCCGGCCCGTGGGAGCACCCACTGTACCACAGTGGCCCCGCCCATGGGAATGCTCCCCACTGAGGAGTGCAGCTCACCCCTACAAAGGAGCCCCCAGAATGTGCAGTACCTCAGCTGAGCCACCCACAAGTGCAGAGCCAGCCCATGTGCAAAAGAAAGTGTCCCTCCCCTCCCACCTAACGCACCATCTTGACCGGTCCCCTGCCAAGCACAGTGGTCCCACACCAGAGTGATCCACCGGTGGAGCACAGAGGCCCCCCCTGCACGTGCGTGCACGACCTGCCAAGCGGCCAGCATGCAAACAGAGAGGAACCCTACCCAGCACGAATTCCGGCAGACTGGGTGGGGTCAGAAAACACAGCTCCTGCCCCCCACCCCCAGCAGTGGCAGGTGGAATCTGTGACCTGACACTACCACAAATGCGCTGGCAAAGGATCAATCCATCAAACACCATGAAGAACTACAGTGACAGTTCAGAGCAGAATGAAAATGGCAAGTCTCCATAAATCATTCCTGAAACCACAGAAATTTACAATCTAAATGAAGAGAATTCAAAACAGTTCTCATAAAGAAACTCAATGAGTTACAAGAAAACTCAGAAAGACAGTTCAATGAACTCAGGAATAAAATTAATGAGCAGAAGGAATTCTTCACCAAAGAGACTGAAACTCTAAAAAAAAACTCAAAGAAATTCTGGATATGAAGAACACACTTAATGAGATAAAAAATAATCTAGAAACCATAAAAAATAGAGCTAATGTTATGGAGGACAGAATTAGCGATTTAGAGGATAGAAATATAGAAATGCTTCCGGTGGAGGAGGAGAGAGAACTAAGATTTTTAAAAAATGAAGAAATTCTTTGAGAAATATCTGACTCAGGAAAAGCAAAATAAGGATTACAAGTATTCCAGAGGGAGAAGAAAGGGAGAAAGGAGCAGAGAGCTTGTTCAAAGAAATAATAGCTGAGAACTTCCCAAACCTGGGGAAGGAACTAGACTTAAAGAACATGAAGCCAACAGAACACCTAAATACATCAATGCAAAAAGACCTTCTCCAAGGCATATACTATTAAAACTGGCAAAAGTAAATGACAAAGAAAAAATATTAAGGGGAGGAATGCCGAAGAAAATAACCTACAGAAGAGCCCCTATCAGGCTTTCAGCAGATTTCTCAGCAGAAACCTTACAGGCTAGGAGAGAATGGAATGATATATTCAAAATACTGAAAGACAAAAACTATCAGCCAAGAATACCCTATCCAGTGAAACTATCCTTCAGATATGATGGAGAAATAAAAGCTTTCCCAGATAAACAACAGCTGAAGAAGTTCGTTGCCACTAGGCCTGCCTTACAAGAAACGTTGAAAGGAACCCGTCTGAAACTAAAAAGCAAAGGTTTATAAAATCTTGAACAACGAGATAGAGAGATCGAATCAGAAAATTGCAGCTCTATATCAGAATAGAATAGTAAACAACTATAAAAGACAAAGGGAAGGAAAGCATCAAAAATAACTAGAAACACTTCAGTTTAGTCACAAAGTCACAATACAGAAAAGAAGAGTTTGTGACAACAATAACTCAGAAGGGGAAGAGGAAAGGGATGGAACCTGCTTAGGCTAATGGAGATAAGAGGCTATCAGAAGATGAACTATCTCATCTATGAGATCTTTTATACAAACCTTACAGTAACCACTAAACAAAAATCAGAGCAGACCCACAAATCATAAA